CGAGCTGCGGCTGCGGCCGGGGGCGGCGCGGGCGGCGCTGCCCCCCGACTTCCAGGGTCGGTTTTGGGGCGAAATCGCGGGATTTTGGGAAAATTCGGGATTTTGGGAAATTTGGGACAAATTTGGAGCGGATTTGTGGGGGTTTTTGGGGGTTTTTTTGGGTTTTTGGGGGGTTTTGGGGGGTTTTTGGGGGGTTTTTGGGGGCCAGGGGCGGCGCTGCCCCCCGACTTCCAGGGTCGGTTTTGGGGCAAAATCGCGGGATTTTGGGAAAATTTGGGAATTTGAGGAAATTGGGGACAAATTTGGAGTGGATTTGTGGGGGATTTTGGGGTTTTTTTGGGGTTTTTAAGGGGTTTTTAGGGGGTTTTTGGGGGGCCAGGGGCGGCGCTGCCCCCCGACTTCCAGGGTCGGTTTTGGGGCGAAATCGCGGGATTTTGGGAAAATTCGGGATTTGGGGAAATTTTGGGACAATTTTGTGGGGATTTTTGGGAGATTTTTTTGGGGTATTTTTTAGGATTTTTTTGGCATTTTTTTAGGGATTTTTGGGGTTTTTCTGGTTTTTTTTAGGATTTTTTGGCATTTTTTAGGGATTTCTAGGGGATTTTTTTGAGTTTTTTGGGTCATTTTTGGTGTTTTTTTTTAATTTTGGGTTTTTTGACGTTCTCAAGTGGATCTTGGGGTGGATTTTGGGGTTTCTCGGGTGGATTTTGGGGTGGATTTTGGGGTTTCTCAGGTGGGTCTTGACCGGGGTTTTGGCGGGGTTTTTTGGGTGGTTTTGAGGAATTTTCGGGGGTTTTTTTAAAGTTTTTTGGGGCAATTTTGGTGTTTTTTTTTTAATTTTGGGTTTTTTGACATTCTCAGGTGGGTTTGGGGGTGGATTTTGGGCTTTCTCAGGTGGATTTTGGGGTGGATTTTGGGGGTTTCCCAGGTGGGTTTTGACAGGGGTTTTGGTGGGGTTTTTTGGGTGGTTTTGAGGAATTTTCGGGGGTTTTTTTAAAAGTTTTTTGGGGCAATTTTGGTGGTTTTTTTTTAATTTTGGGTTTTTTAACGTTCTCTGGTGGGTTTGGGGTGGATTTTGGGGTGGATTTTGGGGTGGATTTTGGGGTGGATTTCGGCCGTTCCCGGGCGGATTCTGACCGGGTTTTTTGCCGTTTTTTGGCCGTTTTTTGGATTTTTTTTTGGGGTATTTTTGGGGTATTTTTGGGGTTTTTTGGTGGTTTTTTTTTTATTTTGGGGTTTTTTGAGTTTCTCAAGTGGATTTTGGGGTGGATTTTGGGCTTTCTCAGGTGGATTTTGGGGTGGATTTCGGCCGTTCCCGGGCGGATTCTGACCGGGTTTTTTGCCGTTTTTTGGATTTTTTCGGGGTTTTTTTTGTGTTTTTGGATTATTTGGGGATTTTTCCCATTTTTCCCCCCAGAGAACGGCCAGTGGAGCCTCGTGCACCGCTCGGGCGGCGCCTGGGGCTCCCGGGTGGATATTTTGGGTTTTTTGCCATTTTTTGGGGTTTTTTTTTTTATTTTTTTGGGTAATTTTGGATTTTTGGTGGTTTTTTGGGTTTTTGGTGTTTTTTAGGGGGGATTTTGGGTGTTTTTTTCGTGTTTTTTGAGGTTCTCAGGTGGATTTTGAGGTTCTCAAGTGAATTTTGGGGTGGATTTTGGGGTTTCTCAGGTGGGTCTTGACCGGGGTTTTTGGCGGGGTTTTTTGGGTGGTTTTGAGGAATTTTCGGGGGTTTTTTTAAAGTTTTTTGGGGAATTTTGGGTGTTTTTTTTACTTTTGTGTTTTTTGACGTTCTCGGGTGGGTTTGGGGTGGATTTTGGGGTTTCT